TTTTTTTTTAATTCGATTGATGATGAAACTTTTCAGAGGGCTGCTTCCATACACACAGCAAGCTTTATTTATAGAATTCATTCTTATACTTATTTTTGAGGGCACGAGTTGGCTAAGGTCAAAATTGGTTGAGATTGCTAAGGTTGAGGCAAAGTATTTCGAAATGAGAACCAGTTTGTATCAAAAAAGAAATCTATAAAGAAGGTCACACTTACATCAGCGAGGCGAAGACGGCGAAACTGCCTGAACACAACGTTTCCATTGCCGTCACGAACGAAATTTGCAGATTTGTCGGATTTGAAAGTCTCATATCTGCAAAGATTGAATATATTCGAATGAACGAGGCCTAAGAAAACTTACTCAGCAATTTTTGGGTTAGGCGGATCTATGCCATAAGGAACGGCCTTGGATATGAATTGCTTGAGCTGCTGATTTTTGATTTCGGTATGTTTTTTCATGAGATTTTCGTACAACTCAGCTAGAGGTTTCATCTCAGCCACTAAAAGAGAATAGAAAAAGGTTAGAATATAGCAGAAAGGCAAGTAGCGGTAATCCTTACCGACAGCTAGAATAAGCAAGAAGATCACAACGACTCTTAATGCGTGGACCATATTGTCTCACGGAAACTGTAATAGGACAGCGCCGATGCGATACGCGCTCAATGTCTTTTATACTTTCGCCGATACCATGATAAATGCATGTGATAAAAGTACTTGTGGGTGGAGCTAAAACTTACCTTTCCAATCAAGTTGCGAGACAGGCGGAGTTAACCTAGCGCCCACCATTAGGGATACGAATTGGGCGTGGCTTACAGGTTGGTCTTTCAACAATCACTGACGTCAACGCCGTAAATTTCGACGAAGGCGGGGGGGGGTACCGGCTGTCGACCTCGAGCTGGTTGAGACTATTTTTAGTTCGCAATTTCTATATGAAGGCTAAAGTAGATTTTAGAGAATGAGTAATAAAAATGACTTGGAAATGTTATGTTTTCACATTCGAACCGGAATAGTAGCATTTAAACTCTGATACTTTTAGTGCATCCATATGACGACCTTCTAGAGTGCAATGCAGCCGCACGATAGAAATCGTGCTGAGATAAGCAATGACTTTTGTCGAAGGGGAAGAAGTTTAGTCGACTATTACTCTTTTGAGATTTAAAATACATGATAAGTTTATGACGTAAACTTTTCCGAATTCTCCTTTACATCATTTCGAAAAAAAAACCAATTAATCGAATGCATTTTGCAAGTTTACATTTATTATATAAATTTTCACACATTTACTTGCAGCACATGCCCATTGCAGATTTACTGCTGTGAGTGTGAATTTATCACTAGCAAATTAATCTCTAGTCGACAAGTGGGAATGTCATAACAAACGCATAGTATTGTAATAATGCCGAAAATAGTTCTTTTACTGCAACCTGACTCGGAGCTGAAAGATCACGCTGGGGCAAAAAAAAAA